TTTTGGGAATTTCTTCAATTTCAAGTTTCAAGTGTCCACTTGAACTCAAAGGTGACCTGATTAGATTCACTGTTGCCAGTTTGCACACGTAGGAAAAAAGCATCTGCGCATTAATAAACAATTTAATGTGCTGTCTTTTACATCCTGGTCATAAATGTATAGCTACTTTAAAAGTAGATGTATAGTAAAATAAATCATTGTTCCACAAGATTTGTGATACATCAATATATGCTTAGTGGAAATTTCAGTGGAGTTTTCTTGACACTTGAACTGTACTGTAAGCACACAAATAATACTGTACAGAAAATACATACACCATATACACAGTGGCTATATTAATCCTCTTGCAACTGTACAGGCAATTTTTTACATTAATTTGATCTGGAGGTTTGAGTTTTTATTCTTTTATTTCACCTACACTAATCTATGACATGTATCTTTAATGTGCAGATACAATAGATGTTTTTGTACTGACAAGTGAAAGCACAGCAGACCGCTGAAAATGATCAGCATACTCATGACTGTCAGCAGCCTCTTCACCCGCAAGTCATAAAAAAGCTCTGGTCAGAGGATCCCTTAATGTTTCAAGTAGTCACCATCATTACAGTAAGAGGAGAATATATATTAACTTTCACTCTGCAAAGGAACTGATTTTCCTGTTTTGTAAACCCAGAACTTGTGGAATAATTTTAATATTGCAGCAGTCACTTTGTCAGTAATTTGATAGATTATAGAGTGTGTTGTTTTTGTTGAATTTTCTTTATCCAGGGCATTTTATTTATTCATTCAATCATCTGCAAATATACATTTTTTTCACACTTTTTTTGAGAGAAGGTGAACAATATAAAGCCCACTGGGGTAGTCACAGCTACATTTCACATTTTATATAGTTTACGTTTCACAGTAATGTAAAAATATTAATTATATGACCCTTAAGTGTTAATCAGTTAAAGTTATCAGGTAAGTAACAGGATTCTTGCTGCTAACCATCATTTTATAAATCTGAAACCCATTCAGTATTATTATAGATGTAGGATATTACTATTTCAGTCATACACCATATACACCTTTGTCTTCTATGCTTTTGTCTTCTATATTATCATTTTAGTCCATTTCTTTATTTGTTCATGGAATCAGGCCCTTAATTTAAATTTTGTGACAGAAACCTTTTTTTCCTGTTACATCAGCCCAACTGCTTATAATGCTTACAGTACCCTTAATGTAACCAGCAGGGTATCTTGCACATTGATATATGTATTATATGCTCGCTGGCCACTTTATTAGATACACCTGTACAGTTGTATGCAATTCAATGCAACCCTTCCACCTTAACATCTGCATTTCTGAAGCTCAAAATGTTTCACTTTTGGTGAAATGGTCATAAATGTATAAATTCAAGTATATGTTTATTATTGAGGTCATAGTTAAAGGTGGTGTTGTACTGGACTACATTATATTTAAAGGCGTTCCTAATATTATGACCCTCTCATGTTTATAGCTGGGGAGGACAAAGATATAGAGACACCTTTAAATATAATGTATAACAGTATAACACCACCTTTAACTATGACCTCAATAATGATCATATCATTGAATTTTTCTTTTCCTTGTTCTTGTTTTGTTGTCTTTTGTGTGGACATCGAGTCTTTTAATAAAGGTTTGATTGGTTGATTATACATTTATGGCAATTTCACTGAAACTGAAACATGAGAGCTTCATAAACATGGGTATTAGGGCAGAACTGTTTCATTGAATTGTACAGGGGTAACTAATAAAGTGGCCGGTGAGTGTATGTGAGGATATACAGTATCTTATATACCTGCTAGCCAGCAGTGCCCACACTGCCATCTGCTGGCTGATTTCCTGACCAGTCAGATGTTTCCCTCCCTGTAGATGAGGCTCTGCTAGTGCATAAATGTTTTAACCAGAGATTATAGTTAAAACTAAAACGGTGAACATGATAAGCTTCTTCCAGTACCAGGAGGTTCAAATCATGCTTCACTTTTATGCTTTGTAGAGAAAGTTCTTTTCTCAAGAATCTATTTTACTTAAAACTCATCAATAAATAGAATAGTTGTGGGAATCAGAGGCACAACTACATACTCAAACAAAAGAAAACTGAATTAAGCATGTTACATACACACTGTATTTTAATGAAAGTTCAGGTTCAAATGATACAGTTTAATGAAAGAAGCAAAACATTAAAAATCACCATAAATATGCTACATAATCCTAAACACATGTTGCTCTAACATGATTAAACATATCTGTAAGGGCAGCTCAGTGTTAGGCCATACACAAACACAAAGGTTAAATCTCATCAGCACTAAGTAAAAGTAAAGACATCCCAACTGTGCAGTGGAAACTAGAGAGGTCAAACCCCAAATTAATTTCCAACACTGTTCATCTTAAGACATCTCAGTATGCACACACACGCACGCACACACTAAAATGTATACTTACAATCAGACAATACTCTAACTCCACATCTAAGAATTCTTTCAGGATACTCTTGTGTGGCTAACTCACCACCCTGACTGCCCTTGGCACGATATGAACGAGTATTACTGATTGCACCATAAAAAACAGGAATTTCACTTACAAAAAATTAAAACAAAAAAACAAAAAAACCCGCCCACTGCTCTAAGCATTACATCCTTGCATCACTTGTAAATGATGTGTTGGTTAAACAAGTCTAAACACTTCAGCGTTTGGGCCAGATAGTATAAATGTGAACCTTAAACTCAAAAGAAAAGGCCAAATACCAGCTTCCACTGTCTTAGAAGTCAAATTAAGTGACTTGCACTTCAGCACAACACAGAGACTGTTTAGTGGTTGCCGAGGCTTTCATCACTCAAACATGCTTAAAAAAAACCCAACATGCACACACGCACGTGTGACTAAATCTCCCAGTCTTTCACACAAACCCTTCACTCATTCAGTCCATGTCCCAGCACAACTAGCAAATGGAATAGCAGTATCAGCAAATGTGATGTTGTGGTTGCTGGAAAAACATGAAGAACAGAGAAAGATAAGGCATCATGCTATTCTTGGCAAAGCCGTACGAAGTGAAAGCGTGGTACAGCAATGGCTTGAATGTGGGCTGATGAAGCTACACTGGAACCCTTTTAAGTCAAGGGGATGCAACTTTTGAAAAAGTCATGAGAAAAGATGACAATTTCCCCTCAGTCCCACCCGTTGTCCTTTATCATGTGGGACAGCTCGATGATGTACTTCCCCTCCTTGTACTTCTGGCTCAGCTCAAAAGCCTGTTCCTGCAGAAGGAAAGCACACCGGGGCTATTAAAAAAGTAGGTCAAAGTGTAGCTCAAATCAAACTTACCTAATACTGTAGTTACCTACTAATCAGTAATAGTTTTATAAAAGGAATAAGCAAACGATTACTGAGTCTTTCTTTGCTTTTCAGTGATGTACAACTAAGAAATCGCTGTTCTCTGAATGAAAGTAAACATGGGTTGGGTAAGGCCCGATCACTTGTGAGAAATCCATTCAATAGGGATGCAGATCTATAAATTAAAAATGCCACAGGTATCTATGGTATGAGCAGTGGTGCCTGCAGCCGTAACCCTCTATGCACCATGTGTACATTTTCTTTTAATGATTTTTCTCAAGTTTTACACCACTGTGTCCGGTGGTCATTGTATGATCAACATATAGCATATACAGAGAAATATATTTTCATATTTATGGCCCGAGGAGCTATCTAATATGATACTGTACATATAATATGAAAAATGTTTTTACATAAAAGTATCTCGTAAAAACGAGCAAACTATCTTGTTATATTGAGAAAAGGTTCTCGTTAAAACAAGTTTTATGCTGCTGTAGGCAGTTCTTGTGTGTACTATGAAATATAATCCTGCAGGCACCACTGAGTATTAGCCAGATTAACGCTCTCCAGTTCAATGGTGAATGTGTGTGTTTACATACATATTTCCAACCCAGTGTGGTGTGACAGTTTTCACAGTAGATGTCAGCCACTGCATGAAGTCCTGTGAGCAGCAGCCTCTCCTCCGCAGGACCACAGCCCACGTTCACTCTGAAACAGTGTTACAAATTCTAATTCACAGTTAAAAAAAAAAAAAAGAAAGACTCATTACCATGCACTATTAGAAGAAACTGTTGAGAGCCCAGTGCAACTCTGGTGTCAAACTAATGTTCTTGACAAACTGTGAGTCTGAACAGTACATAACATTCTTTGAGAAAACAAAGTAGAGCTCGAGTATGCCTGCCCTACTAACCTAGGAGGAGTGTGACTAAAGTGAGATCCGCTCTACAGCAAAGTATCTGCTGACATGGTGGTTTGTGCAAAAATGTCTAATTCTGGGAATTGTTTTCAGAGAGAAGTAGACTATTTCAGAAATGATATGGTGGAAAAACAAAGAAGATCATAGATTCATCATAGATTCTCTTTTTTCCTCTAATCTAGCCTGATAATGATGTAAATAAAAAGGAAAAATGGCAACATGCATCAATTGTAACACTGTCTAAAGACACCTTTTACCTGTCTACCTAGTACTTATGGACATAAAAACAAGAATGGAAACCTAAGATACATACAAGTACTAACATGTAGCAATGCTGTATTTAAAAACAGTATACTCACACAGAGTTGAAGAGGTAAGCTCGACCCTGGCTGCCTTGGAAAGACTAGAGGACGTGGCAGAAACATGAAATCAGAGAAGAAAATGCTACATGTGCCCACAGGACATAAGGATCACAAACATATCATGACATTAAATGTAACTTTTCCAGCGTTGCAAAATATTTCCAAAATGTCTTGTTACTTTGTGAAACCTTTCAAGTTTTCTTAAAGTCAGGTTTTTCCAGTTTCACTACTTTCAATGACACATTGTATAAGCCAAGTGAAATGATTACTAAAAACAAAAGGTGGAAGGGTGGCAGAATACTGACCTTGGAGATAAGATCGTCATGGTTGGCCAGATGAGCGCGGCAGTGCACACAGCTGTAACGACGGTGGCAGGAGTCCAGGTAAGCCTGGAATGTTTTGGCCTTTGTCAGCTTCACCATGTCTGAGGAAAAAGAAGAAGGAAGGAGGAAGCAGGATTGTAGTTTGTTGCTGTACATTTGTTATTGATGCAGGCTTTGACTCCTGAGATCAATTAGTTAACCACAAAGCCAGATCAATCAAATGCAGGGCAGACTACTCTACTGCTATCAGTGAGGAATCCCAGGTTTTACATCAATATGACAAGCCTGTTTTTTTTAACCAGAAAAAAAAAAAACTAAGAAAATGAATTACAACACAATGTCAACATCTTGACCTTTTATTTGAAAATTATGACACATATGAGGTCATTAGTCGACCCTCATAACTTTGACTTTGGAAGTAAAACATTTAAGACTTTCTATCAGTCCATAGATGCATTTTAACAAGGTTCTGAGTTTTTAATTTCTCAGATATAAATCTTTGATGCTGTTTTTTTGTCACACATGATAGTAAACTGAATATAGTGGGTTTTAGACACTTGATAAGACAACACATCTGAAGATGTCACCTTGGTCTGTGGGGAATGATAAACATTTTTAAACTATTTCCTGGAATGTTATAAACAAAAGGACTAACAGAAAAATAATCAGCAAAAAATAAAAATAGCCAATAATAAAAACAACGGTTAGCTACAGCCCTAAATAGGTGAGCTTTTATTTTTGTAAGTTTTACACTGTAACTGTTCTTCGGCCCTAATGTGTCATAATTATATCTTTGTTACGGTCACTGTGCACAAACTGGCACAAAGTCAAAATAACATTTGCCAAAGCATGTACTGTTATACTTAACATGATTAGAAGAGATTAATGTTAACAGGTTAGCTAGGCTACAACACAGTTTACCAGGCAGCTCGATTCCTAGTTGTTAACTGTTTGCACAAACAACCCTCGCTTCATTATATATGCAACGAGCTCTAGGAACGTGTACTGCGCCACTTATATAATGTCCAACACTGGTGACCGTTTATCTCTCGCTAACTAGTGACTCATAAGCGTCCAGGCGGCCTCAACAGCTCAGCTGCAACAGAAATCGGTCACTAGCTCCGGCCACCTAGCGCTAGCTTGTGAGCTATCTGGCCAGTTAGCTCAGCACTGTCCACATAGAACAGCTAACCGCAGCTAAGAGGCGCATTGCAGGATGTTTCCAGGCGTTTGTCAACTCACCTGATATCACCGAAGCGCTTCACAGTCTACACAGAGAACCAGCGTGTCTAGTGGACAGGTCAACTCAGTCCAACAGCCGACCACGCGCTGACGGCTCGGACAATAACGACAACACCGACTGCCTATTTTTTTGCAGCGAAGCCTGTTTAACCGTTTTCTCTTCTTTAAATCTGAACCAGCTTTCAAAGATCCTTCTCGTCCTTTTGGTTAAAACAGGAGCGGGAATCCAACAATGCTGGCAAGCTGACAAGATAAGTGTACAACTACCACGGCGGGAGAAATATCGAGTTTGTTATGAAAACACAGCAGAGGAGGAAGTGTAAAGACTGCAAAACAAACCCCTGTCGACCAATGAGCGCCTCGGAGTTATGTTTAGAATGTGGGTCAGCCAATCAGATTCGACTTCACGTGAGCTCCTACGGCTATCAGCTTGATTGTTGTTGGAGTTTCATAAAAGCTTTTAGTGGGTTATCTTTTTATTTTCAGCTGTTGATCAAAGTCTCTTGTAGACTGGCTGCTAACAGTGACTTTTACAGAAAGAAAGCACTTGTGGAAAGAAACTAAATGCACAAACTGTACAGTTTGATAAAGCGAAACTGTAACTATGAGGTCCAAATTAGCCCAACTCAGCGCCACCGATAAGACATTTTTATAAAGTAATAAAAAAAAAAAAAAACACCGCTAAATAATACTTATTTAAACAACAACAACAACAACAACAAAAAAATGTTGCAGGGCTCACACTCTTAATTCCGGGCCTTACAAACTATGGTTACAAGAAAAAAAAAGTTTGCAGTTTTTTTGGATGCCAAGAATTTATTGCACGTGTAAAAAAGTGATAGTTAAAAATTGTGGATGAAAATGTTAACACAGAAACACAAACTATAATTCTAGTATTCCTAGTATTTATTTAAGGGGAAAAAAATCTAAATACATTACTGTATTGAATAATTTATCTTTTCAATTATGATACATGTAAATTAATTTCCCTATGGTCAAAATGCTTGAAAAATATGGCTGCATGTTATATATATATAATTTTTAAACCTGAGCAACATCTAAAATCCAAACATATATTATGGAATTATTTTTAACAATATCAAAATTTTAATTTAATTTTAAAATAAAGTGCAAACAATTCCTGTGTACTAAAAGTTCTGCCGAATGAGTAATGCCACTATCACTGCAACTCATGTTTGAGAAACATCAGAAGGACAACTCAAAGGGTTGCATGAATGCTCTGAATAGTCAGATTATTCCTACAGATACGTAGGAATAAGACGGAAGAAAAATATAATTCGTATAAGAACAAATTAATTGAGATTTTGAGGAGATGTAAGAAACAATATTATTCTAAAGTATTAGAGGATAATAAAAATAACATGAGAGGTACTTGGAATATATTAAATAATTTGATTAGAAATAGTCCCAGCAAGAGTAACTACCCCCAATA